GGGCCCCGGGGCCCCTGGGATTTCCTTCAGTCTACAGGTTGGAGACAAAATGGTTGCCAACAAAACTTGTTAGTTTTAATGGTTTTTCTTGAATTTTCGAATTGTGTGATGCCACTTTTCTCACCTTAGTTTATTTACAGCACATTTATGGTCTACTGCCTTTGCATTCTGACCTCTGCTATTTGATCCCCAGGATAATTTTAACGGTACGAATGAAGGCTCGATGCAGCAGGGTGTTAGAATTCTGCAGTTTACAGAAATATTTTGTTTGCCTGAATCTTCTGATTGTCCAACATCTGGTTAATGTGTTTTTCTCTTCCAGCATGACAACGATTGAAAACGGATAAAAGTATGGTAATAGTTGTTAACTTCCTGATTTACAAAAGCACAACCAACCATGCTTTAAATACAAAAGAGGATAGTCTAAGTTCTAGTTGCCTCAAATTACAGTGGCTACAAATATAAGGACTATTATTTCAAGTTGATTTCAGTTTATTTGGAATCCATTTCAAATCTTAGGAAAATCTAATCTTCAGAAAATTACTGAACAAAATTTTTTTTGTTCAGTAATTTTTCAAAATTTTCAATCAACTATTCAATTCTTTCACTAAGGTGTAAACACCCTGTTTTAATTACATCCAACTGTTATAATTAGCAAGGAAAGATAATTTGGTCTAAATGATTTCCGAGGGTTTCTTAGGAGTTTCTGTATCGAAACACTATACAGTGTTTCGATACAGAAACAGGGGAGATGCATGGAATTACTCTATTCAAGCAAATTGTGAGTTAATTTATTGAGAAATGTTTAATCTATTCAGAAATGTTTAGTTTCGAGCTTGAGAAATTTTTCAGTTTTGGGCTTCAGCAAAATAGAGAAGAGGTTAAATCAAAATTCACAAATATTTTAACTATTCAAATGAGTTTCTAAAGTAATACTGAATATTCTGAATTGAATACATTAAAATTAAACAATGATGTCATTTGTCAAATAGATTTGACAAAATAGAGTTTCTTGAACATGGAAGGGATCGTTTGATTGCTGCATCTCTCTTGCTATAATTTGAAATAATAGGTCAACCAAGTCATGCAGAAAGGCCAACCCTGAACATTATATCATTTAATAAATCTAGTTGTATCAAATTTCTCCATAGAACTGTCAAAAACATTGATAAATATGAAACACTAAACACTACAAAAGAGTGTAATTCAGTTAAATAAATATTTTATAGAAGGGTTTCAAATGAACAAATTGTTCAAAGGTTAAAATTGTTGAACTTTTGGTATTTAAAATCACAATTAGAATAACAGTAAGTTAAATATGTACTGCCCTTAAACTCTGGAAAGCTGAGGTTCCGCGGTCGTCTTTCAGTTCTGGGAAACCATCTGATAGGGAGGTGTGGTTCTATCGGTACCGCTGCCCTTCTCTATGTTGGAAGTGATGCACTGAACAGCCGAGGACCTCAGGCAGGGAACAGCAGCATCCACAGGTGATGAGGAGAGCAAGGAAGGTTCTTTAAGATTCTGCATCATCTGATTAGTAAACATAATGTTCTTTTTTTTAAAGGCTGCTCCTTGAAGCTGAAGATCAGGGATTTTTTTTTCATACTAAGCCAATAGACTATCAATATATCAATAAGATGTGTTATTTAAGTTCTCTCGATAATAGTTAAAGAAATGCTTAAATTCAGTAACACATTTCAACCTTCAAAAATAACATTGCTTGTTTTAAGTGCTGGCATATTCATAGGATCAGACAAAATCAGAAACCAAACAAAAAATCATGTAAAGGATCAGATTATGAAATAAATGTGCAAAACTGCCTGGCCCAAAGTCATGTCTTATCAAAGAGATATCATTTGAAATGTATATAAGATTATCCCTAATAGAAACTTTAACATAAATAACAAAACCATATATACATGTTTTGCTTTTGTTTTTTAATTAAATTCAATCAAATAGTCCTCATTTAACAAGAAGTAACCCGCTATACTAAAGGCTTGTAAAATATCATAAATACTGTGAAAAGTCAATGGTCTGTGTTAAATTAAGATTCCTTGTAATTTGTTCCATTCATGTAATAAAAGATGACCCTATTTTGTCTCAGACCAAAAACTGTAAATTATGATTATGAGAAATGTTTAGGCATTATTACCTTGAATCAACAATTACACATAGGACTAGATTCTTTTTTTTTATTCTGTCAATCTGTTTGACCCCCTTTAAGCAGTTCCATAATTGCTCATTTGTAATTTCCCAATTTAGACCAATTTAATTTGAATCCTCGTATTTTCTTCTCATTTTAAAACTTAATATACTGATTAGCCTGTTTTTATTTTTTTTACAAGAATAAAGCTGTGTCTGTGTCTTTCAATATTCGTTGCTTACAAGCTTTTCTTACCATCACATTTCATTTAACAGTGCATCCTTTCTATAGTTCACTGACTTTTGAATATTACATAGACATTTCAATAAGTTTGGTTTAATCATTTGCTAACACATTGTTGTATGCATTATTCATTACAAAGAGAATGCCTTAAAATTTCTAACTCACATTTTATTCAGTTTGAAGTGACGCCTAACGTTTATTCATTTTACATTTTATTAAATTTGATTCATGTTTGAGCTCTTAACTTTAAAAAAAAAAAAAAAAAAAAAAAACTTTCAGATTTTGCTCTTTTATAACTCATTACCCATCCGTGACATGACGTTGACCTGAGGTAACAAAAAGAAATAATAAATAAATAACAAGCAACATAAAGGTAATAATAATAATATTTGGTTCCAGAAAGTGTCATGGTCCGACTTTATGGCTGATGTGTAATTACAGATGACAAAGCTCTCACAAATCTGCAGGAAAATATTTTCTAAAAAAAAAAAAAAAAAAAGGACAAGAGTCATGCCATGGAGGGTTGACTTATATTTCTCCAAATTTTTTATTTTTATTTTATTTAAACATCCAACAACAACAGGGCATTGACCACAGGGACAAAGCAAACATGACATATTTTTTTCTTTTTTTTTCCTACCCTTGTTCCCTCTACCCTTCCCTAACTATCCCCATCCTGCTGCAACAAAAAGAGAGAAAAATAAACAAATAAATAGAACAACAATAATAATAATGATAAAAAAAATTTTTACAGCTGAAAAAAAACAACCACAAGCAAAGAATCCAGGAGACAGCTCAAAGACGTGGGCAACATGCAAACAGGCGTCTATACAACCATGGGTACATAAACCGAGTCAGGACATGGACATTCAAAACCGCACAGGTGGACGAATACTGTCAATAACCAGAACCACAAGGAACCATTGAGGCCGCCGGGCCGGGGCACAGACACACATCAGAGCCAGCATCTGCATGGCCCTCAGGCTCGAGGGAGGGCATCCAGTCTCTCAAAATAAAATAATAGAGGGGCCCAGGTTTTATAAAATTTTTGGATCGAACCTCTGACACAAAATTTGATCTTCTCTAACTTAAGGGTGGGTGTTCTGATTTCCACGCTAAAAGTATTCTTCTTTGGGCAAGGAGAGTTGAAAAAGCCAGTACATTTTTAAAATCATGTGTTAATGAACTCCAAAAATTGCCAATTCGGCACTGGGTTGGATGCCTATTTCAAAAGCTTCAGATAGGATCTGAAAAACTGTAGACCAGAAGTTACGCAGATTGTTACAGGACCAGAACATGTGCGTTAAATTCACCTTAGCTATATGGCAACGAGCACAGGTTTCACTGACTGTAGAATAAATCCTTGAGAGTCTGTCTCTGCTGTAGTGAATCCTATGAAGAACCTTGAACTGAATGAGTCCAAGTCGAGCGCATGATGTTGACCCATTAACTCTATGTAATGCGTGATTCCAAGTCTCATCAGAGATGTGTATTCCAAGTTCTTCTGACCATTCTGCTCTGATCTCATCAGGCTTTACTGCGTTGAGTGATGAGATGCTATTATAAATTTTGGAGATGAGACCTCTAGATGTGTAGGGGTTTGCAAGAGGATGTCCATTCCTCCCTTTGGAGGTAAGTTGGGAAAGCAAGGACTGATGTTACGAACAAAGTCTCAAATCTGGAGATATTGGAATAGGGAGGAATGCTGTAAACTAAATTTAGAGGAAATGGCATCAAAGGTAGCGAAAATACCATGTATATAAAGGCCACTAATTTACTTAAGCCTGCTCTCTGCCATTGGGCAAAGACAGGATCTAACATGGATGGCAGGAAAACATGGTTATCACATATGGGGCTGTAGATAGAGAAGTTTGTCATATTGAAGTGTTGTCTGAACTGTGACCATGTTTTTAGAGTGGAGATTACAACTGGGCAAGAGGAATGTTGCTTAGGAGAGAGAGGGAGCTTTGAGGTAATTAATGCAGGGAGTGATGATGGCCTGCATGCAATCAGTTCTAATTGGCACCAGTCAACATCCGGTTGTTGGAGCAAACAGACTACTTTTTGTAGGTTTGCTGCCCAGTAGTCGTACAACAGGTTAGGTAGAGCCAAACCCCCCACTTCCCTTTGTTTCTGAAGGAAATGCCTACTGATTCTGGGGTGTTTATTGCTCCACATGAACGAAGACAGCTGTTTATCAATAAGTCTGAAGCATGATTTTGGGAGAAACATCGGAATACTCTGAAAGAGATACATAAATCTTGGCAAGATGTTCATTTTAATACATGCAACTTTGCCAGCTAGGGATAAGTTTAGGATGCTCCACTTCTGGAGGTCGCGCTTAAGATTATTGAGCAGAGGAGTGACATTTTTTCCCAAACAGATCCGAAAAAGAACGCGTCACATTGATTCCCAAATATTTGAATCCTGTTCTAGAGAGAAGGAAGGGCAAGTCAGTTTCTGTAATTTGGAGTGCAGGGTTATTAATTGGAAAACATTCACTCTTAAGGAAGTTCAACTTATATCCTGAAAATTTACCAAAACGGTTCAACAAGCTCACAATGTTGGGGACGGATGATACCGGGTCCGAGATGTAGAGTAATAAGTCATCTGCGTATAAGGACAGCCGATGTTCCAGATGTTTTCTATAAATACCCTTAAAGCCCTGTGAAGTCTTAAGCATAATTGAAAGTGGCTCAATAGCTAGAACGAAGAGGAGCGGGCTGAGAGGACAACCCTGCCGGGTACCCCTGGAAAAAGAGAAGGGCCTATACCTTGTTCTGTTAGTGATTATACTTGCTTTAGGTGACTTATATAACAGTTGTACCCATGACGTAAAATTGGGCCCAAACCCAAACCTAGCCAATACTTTAAATAAGTAGGGCCACTCGACCCAGTCAAATGCCTTCTCCGCATCAAGTGAGACCACAACCTCAGGGGTCTCCCCCGATGCAGGAGCATGAACACCACCAATAAGCCACCACCAATATATTAGAAAAAGAGTGACGACCCCTCATAAACCCAGTTTGATCCGAGGAGATTATGTCCGTCATGGCCGTGTCCAGTCTCATAGCCAGAAGTTTAGCTAAGATTTTAACGTCTCCATTTAGGAATGATATGGGCCTGTAGGAAGCGCAGTCTGTTGGATTTTTACCATGTTTTAATAAAAGTACAATGTTAGCTTCTGTAAGCGTCTGTGGCAAGGTTCCCTGATCTAATGAATGGTTAAACATTTCAAGTAAAAAAAGGTGCTAACTTGGATGAGAATTTTTTATAGAATTCGATTGGATAACCGTCTGGTCCGGGGGCCTTGCCACTCTGCATTGCTGAAATAGAACTGATGACTTCGATAAGAGTGAGGGGCCTATCCATATCCCTCTTATTAACAGGATCTACAGCCGGAATATCCAAGCCATCTAGAAAATCATACATGTCTGACTTATCCTCTGGGAATTGTGATGAGTATAGATCAAAATAAAATTTCTCAAAGACTTGATTTATTTCAACTGGATCAACAGTTTGCTCGTCAGAGGTCTTTTGGATCTGTGATATGATCTGCGCTGCCGACCGACTTTTGAGTTGGTGGGCCAGAAGGCGGCCCGCCCTCTCACCGTGCTCGTATATAAAGCCTCGGGATCTAAGCAAGGATTGTTCCACATCCTGCGTTGATATAAGATTGTATTGCATTTGTAAACAAAGTCTCTCTTTGTATAGCTCGGGGGAGGGTGACATTGAATGCCTACGGTCCAGCTCCAGCATAGAACTAATAAGCTGTTCCTGCCTTGCTTTTCTAATTTTGTTACGTGTTGCAGTGTAAGATATTATTTCACCTCTAATTACCACTTTTAATGTTTCCCACAGGATGGAGGGTGATACAGAGTCTGATTTGTTTTCAAGCAAAAAATTATCTATGACGGTAGACATCAATTCACAAAAGTTCTCATCTGCTAACAAAGTTGAGTCAAATCTCCAGATGGGGCGCTGAGTTTGATTAAGTGGGAAGGCCAGATCCAATATTACTGGTGAATGATCAGACTCTACAATAGAATATTCGCTCTTCTTGACAAAGGGCAGCAGAGTTTTGTCTATAAAAAAACAATCAATCCTTGAATATGACTGGTGGACATGTGAAAAAAAAGAAAACTCCCTATTATCTGGAAACAAAAAGCGCCAAGGATCTATGCAGCCCACCTCCTTCATGAATACTCCCAAAGCCTGAGCCATCTTTGATGGGGATGTCAGTCTAGAGCTGGATCGGTCTAGGGTCGGATCCATTACACAGTTTATGTCACCACCCAGTATCAAACGGTGAAAATTCATACTTGGTAAAGCGGAGATTAACTTGGATATGAAAGTGGGGTCATCCCAATTGGGAGCATATATGCAAGCAAGTATAACTGGAATATTATATAGGGAACCAGATACTATAACATATCGGCCCTGTGGGTCTGATATGGACTTGCTTAAAGTAAACTGTACGTTTTTATGTATCAATATTGCTGTCCCTCTTGCTTTTGTATTAAATTGTGAATGGTAAACTTGTCCCACCCAAGGCTTCTTCAGTTTTATTTGGTCTGCAGAGACCAAGTGGGTTTCCTGTAGAAATGCTATTTCTGTTTTTAGTTTTTTAAGGTGGGCAAAAATTTTAGCCTGTTTCACTGGTCCTCTCATGCCCTTTACATTCCAACTAGTAAAGCAAACTGCTGAGCCCCCCCCCACCTCTTACACTGCTGTTACACACGTCAGCCATGACAATCCAATCTTATACCCGTCCCAGCCCAACAGCCCCACCTGGCAGTACATGGTTTCATTATCCACAATGTTCAAGCTTGTGAGAAAAAGGAAGTAAAAAAAAACAATACAAATACAAATCAGCTGTATGAATGAAAAACGCAGCTTTGAACCCAACCCTTATTACAACCCACCCCAACTGTATCCTTGCTACACTTGATGAAGCCAACTGCTGTCCCTTAAACACCTCGTAGGTCTTCCGATAGGCCACACTCACTGTCCCAAACTGACTTTGGAAGGTTCCCAATAAACTTAGCGTGCAGGAGTTACGCACTTAGTACAATGAATTAAAATAGTACTAGCAACTATAAAACATTGGGCAATAAAAGCTCCACGGGGCACTTATACAATAACCAACGCCA